CTTCCAAAGAGGCAGCCAGGCCTTTGCACCTCCCAACTCCCCCTCCCTTCTCCCTTTCTCCAGTAAACCTTCAACATGAGAGCTTTTTGCACGGTGTGACTCGTCCTCACCACACCACAGCTAACACCAGAGAAACGGCTGCACAGCACCTGTGTGCGGCATGGTCAGACCCCGGCGTGCCCACACATGCTTTCCTAGAAAGGATGCACATTAGTTTAGGAGTAAGTCTATACTTGGGTCAGGGTTACATTCTGCTTCAGGGGACTTGGGGCACACAGGGAAGGTAGCAGACCCATGCTCTGTGACAGTGTTATGCCACTGGCATAGGAGTGTGACCTATAGACAGGCAGATTCTGGGAATTCAACATATCTCATGGCATATGGGGTAGGAGTCCATTCCTCACAAGGATCAGCAGCCACAGGCTCTGTCTAGGGAGAGATGTTCCTACGTGGCCAAGGTGTTGTGGTCACCCCTGGGAGCTTGAGGAGCTAGGAGAAGTGTGCTGGCACCTGGTGGGGGCCACACCGCCTCACAGTGTAGCTCAGCTTTAGCTTGCAGAGAAGTGGGAGTAGCAACGGTGAGCGCCGCCTCCTCCTCCCGGACACATCCCAGATGTGCCGCACTCAGGGTTAACCGGAAGGGGCTGAACACTCCACTGTAGCTGGAGCATTTAACTGAGGCTTGTTGACAGTTTTGGAGCCCTAGTCCATTATCATCATGGCAGGGAGTATGACAGGCAGATATGGTGCTGGAGAAGTACCTGAGAGCTATATCCTGGTCCATGGGCTGAGAGACAGGACTCCCAGTGACACACTTCCTCCGAGGAAGCCACACCTACTCCAACAAGGGAACACCTCCTAATCCTTTTAATATTTAGTGTATCTCCCTGGCAACTAAGTATTAAATCTATGAGCCTAGGGGGGCATTCTTATTCAAAACCACCACAGCCATCAAGACCAACAGTGAAACCAAACAATGTTATTCTGCATATAAGTGGAATATCTTTGTGTTTTGAGTCTTGTCAGGCCCCAACGTTGCGCAGCATCTGTTAGCCCACATTGAGGGACACCTGTACGATCCAGCCGACTTGTCCAATCCGTACCAGAGAGGGGGAGTGTGGACTGAGGAAAGAAACAGGCTAGAGACAGAAGAGTCAGGAGGGCACCTGGTGAATACTGTAATCCACCTTAAAGTTTATTGCTCAAAATCCTTATATACCCAACCAAAAGTGGGGAAAGGCGAGACTCCTTTACTATGACATGAGGAGCCAGCAAACTTAACTACTTCCTTCATTCGGCAACATTGGTAACCACACCTTAGATCAAACCTCTTGTTATCCGGCCTTGAGGATTAAGACGTCTAGTAACTTTAGATCAAGTATTCTATTATCTGGGTAAGACATCCACACCTTAGGCCAAACAGCCTTCAGCAGCCACACCTTACACCTTTAGGCCTTGGGCATTTAACCTTGAAAGAGCAAGGATAGTTTTGAACTCTCTGACTTTAAGTCAATTTGGACCTGAGCCACCTCTGTGGACCCCGACAGGGTCTGGCTTATTGCACTTAACAAAATGCTTGCTAGTTGCATCTTTCCAGCAAATTCCATGAGTTCGTTATTCCACATGGCTGAGTAAACTTCCATTGTGTATAAGTACCACTTTTTCCTTTTGTTTTGTTTGTATTTTGTGGGATTAAAAGCATGTACCACTATGCCAGGCTTAGTTTCCGTCTTTAACATAGAGAAATAAAGTTTTTTTCAGAACCATTTGTTAAAGGGGCTGTCTCTTTTTTTCAGTGTATATTTTTGGAGGTTTTATCAAAAGTTAGGTGTCCACACTGTGTGTGTGTGTGTGTGTGTGTGTTTGTGTGTGTGTGTGTGTGTGTGTGTTTACTGCTGGACCCTCTGTCCTACTCATGGGCCTGCGAGTCTGTCTTGTTACAGTGAGTCTGTACTAAAGTTTAGGTCCAACACTGTGATACCCCATCGCTGCTCAGAATTCCTCTAGCTATCTGGGCACTTTTGTGCTACCATATGACTTCTAGGATTACTGTTTCTAGGAGAGTGTCACTATGTATTTGATAGGGATTGTGTTGAATCTGAAGATTAGCTTGCTTTTGGTAATGTAGCCGTTTTCAGGGTTGATTTTGCCCACCAGTGAGAACAGGAGAACTTTCCATATTCTAGTGTCTTTTTCACCAACGTGGTTTTTTGGTTTTGAAGCTAAAGGAAATGGGATTTTTCTCCATTTTTGTTTGGTTTTTTATTTTTTATTTTTTTGTGTTTGAGGAGATAGGGTTTTTTTAATTACATACGTTTTTTGTGTGTGTGTGTGTGTGTGTGTGTGTGTGTGTGTGTGTGTGTGTGTGTGTGTGTATGTGTGTGTTTTTACGGGCCCATGCGCGCGTGCACGTACCTGTAGCCCAAAGATTCTGGTAACTTTTGTGCAGTTCCTGTAGCTTTTCTTATTACTGATTTCTAACTAATTATACTATGATCTGATAAAATACTAGAGATTATTTGATCCTTTTGTATTTGGAAAGACTTGATTTGTAGTCTTAGAGAAGTTTCCATGGTATACTGAGAAAAATGTGTATTCTTTTTCTGTTGGATGAACTATTTTGTCCTTCCATGAAATATTTGTTCAGTTCATTTGTTCTATTGTAGAGGTCAACAATGAGGTTTCTTTATCAGCTTGGATACCGTGTCTAGAGATTAGAGTGGGATGTTGAAATCACCCACTATTAATACATCTGGCCCTATCTGACTTTATATGTCCATTAGTGTTTGTCTTATGAAACCCAACATTTGCTGCACTCATATATACAATTACTACATCTTCTAGATAGATGCTTCCCCTTACTAAGATCCAGTGGCCTTCTAATACTGTGTTTTGAAGTTTATGTATGAGATTAGCCACACCAGCTTGTGTTCAGTTTCCTTTCACTTGATGGGCTTCCTCCCCCACTGTGACTTATTCTTGGGCATCTTGAACAATATGTGTGCTTCTTGAGGAAAATATATATGGCTGGGTCTAGTTCTTTAATTCAGTTGGCCAATGTCCCTCCTTATTGCTAAGGTTTTTTTTTTGTTTGGTTGGTTTTTTTTGGTTTTTCGAGACAGGGTTTCTCTGTATTGTTTTGGAGACTGTCCTGGAACTCGCTCTGTAGACCAGGCTGGCCTCGAACTCACAGAGATCTGCCTGGCTCTGCCTCCCGAGTGCTGGGATTAAAGGTGTGCGCCACCAACGCCCGGCTATTGCTAAGTTTTATCCGTGTACATTTAAGGCTACTTTTGAGATTTATGTACCAACCCCGGAATTGTTGTTTTGTGACGGGCTGGTTGTTGTTTGTTGTCTATTTTCTTCCCTGTTAATATCAGGGTGTCGCTGGCTTGCTGGACTGGATTGGTGGGGTCCTTTATTCTGTTGTTCCTCTCACGAAATATATTCTTTCCTGTGCTTTTGTAATTGAGGTCTGCTCCTCCCCTCTCTCTATATAGTGCCCTTTAAGAGTCTTCTGCAAGCCGAAATACCTCAGTTGGGAGAGCATTAGACTGAAGAGTCTTCTGTGATGCCCAGCTGTCATGAACCGCTTTAGCCTATGCTTGCCTTAGATGCTTTTATTTGTATTTTAAAAGACAGTTTTAGTTGGATGCTTAATCCCAGCTCTCAGGAGGGATCTCTATGAGTTCTAGGCCAGCCAGGGAGACATAGTGAAACCCTCTCTGAAAAACAAAACAAACAAACAAACAAAAAACAAGACTTCCAAATAGTGAAAAAGTTCAGATACAAAATTAGACGAATAAAAGGTGAATAAAAAAAAAAGAACAAAAATGTGCCAGGCGTTGGTGGTGCACGCCTTTAATCCCAGCACTCGGGAGGCAGAGGCAGGCGGATCTCTGTGAGTTTGAGGCCAGGCTGGTCTACAAAGTGAGTTCCAGGACAGCCTCCAAGACAATACAGAGAAACCCTGTCTCGAAAAACCAAAAAAAAAAAAAAAAAAAAAAAAAAAAAAAAGGAGCCGGGCGTTGGTGGTGCACGCCTTGAGTCCCAGCACGCGGGAAGCAGAGGCAGGCGGATCTCTGAGTTCGAGACCAGCCTGGTCTACATATCGAGTTCCAGGGCAGCCTCCAAAGCCACAGAGAAACCCTGCCTTGGAAAAAAAAAGTGTTGCCAGGTGGTGGTGGTGCACACCTTTGATCCCAGAACTTGGGAGGGAGAGATGGTGTATATCTGTGAGCTAGAGGCCAGCCTGGTCTACAGAGCGAGTTCTAGGACAGCCAGGGCTACACACAGAGAAACCCTGTCTCAGAAGAAAACAAAGTAAGAGGTTTTTCATGTCTGTCCCTCCTTGTGCGTCTCCTGCTCTGGGCCAGCCTGCTACCGCCTGCACACCTCTGCCAGCTGGTGTCTGACCCTGGTGCTCCCCAGATGTGCTCTTCTAGGCCTTCCTTCTCCCAGATGGAGTGGGAGCCCCCCGACCTGGGGACTCCCTCCCCCTCCCCCCGTCTTAGCCCAACAAAGTGAGGTTTCATTCAGCTGCAGACCATAGCCAGAGAGATCAGACCCCTCGTCGGTCGTCTTTGGGGCTGCAGAGTGCTGTGGGCTGCCTGGAGGTGGGCTGCTGAGCTTTTATCTGCCTTCCCTTTTGGAAGTAGCTTCTCAGGCCCTCCCCCAGCCAGGGACCGTGCAGCTGAGCCTGTGTCAGGCGCCCTTCTCTGTGTGGCATGTCTGTCCTCCTCCTCCATCCTTCCTCGTCCTCTGTGGGTTCCCGAAGGCTCTTCTCTGTTTCTGACAATCTTTTTCCCTTTCTCTTCTGAGTCTGACTTTTTCATCAGCTCTCGAAGAGGCAGTCACTATTCTGCCAGTGTCTGGATTAGGGTCTCTAAGATCATGACCACAGCAATTTGGGGAAGAAAGGGTTTATTTCAGATTACACTTGCAGGTGACAGTCCATCACTGAGGGAGGTCAGGGCAGGGACCTGGAGGCAGGAGGGAATGATGAGGCCATGGAGGGTGCTGCTTACTGATTTGCTCATCATGGCTTCCCGACCTGCTTTCTTATAGACCCAGGACTACATCCCAGAGATGGCACCGCCCACAATGGGCTGGGCCTTCCCCCATCAATCACGAATTAAGACAATGTTCTTCAGCTGGAGGCATTTTTTCAACTGAGGCTCCCTCCTTTCACGGGACTAGCTTATGTCCATAAAACTAGCCAGGACAGCCATCTTACCCAGAAGTGTTTTGAAAAACCCCTGGAAGCAGATCCTAGAAAACATGGCGCCCCACAACGATTCGGGGCCCTTAGGTCCTGGAGGGCAGAGCATAGGCAGGTCTTGCCCACCACACCCAAATCCCAGATGGAAGGTCCAGTGAGCTCGCCAGTGAAAGGCGACGGGATTGGCTGGGCCTACAAGAGGCTCTATGTGGAAGGGGAGGGGCACCAACAAAACAGAACAGAAAAAAAGCTGGGCAGTGGCACTCGCCTTTAATCCCAGCACTCGGGAGTCAGAGGCAGGTGGATCTCTTCAAGTTCGAGGCCAGCCTGGTCTACCTAGCAAGTTCCAGGACAGCCAGGGCTGTTACACAGAGAAACCCTGTCTTGGAAAAAAAAATGAACAAAACAAACAAAGAAGAAAGGGAGGGCATAGGTCAAACTCCAGCCGCTAGCTGCTGGACTTGCAGTAGGAGGGCTGTCTGCGGGAGAAGCTGGTGGTCCTGGGGACTGGAGTTGTAGCAGCAACAAGTGCCCCGTCCCCAGCCGCTGCTGTTAGCCTTGCTGCACACCGCTTTGCTCACCGCAAGCCAAGCTGGATCTTGTGCAGGGCCGAGCTCATAACAACCGCTTTCTGGGACAGTTGTCCAACCCCTGCCACCCACTCGTGTTTATTCTGAGCACCTCCCGTGAAGGGGCTAGGTAAACAGGGTCCCAAGCTTGTCCCAGAGAGACTCCGGGGTGGGGAAACGGCTTCCTGGCATTATTCACTGCCCTGTGCATATGCTAAGTTGTGAGGTCTCCCGGCAGCCTGACGACACCCTAATTCTAAGTGGAGGAAGCTGCCTATGTGAGTGCCTGGAGGGGTGGGGTCACGCCCGTGGCTGGCTCTTCCTGTCTGTCCAGCCTGCCTTCCCATTTGAGCCCTGTGCAGGACATTGGGCAGTCTGGTGGTGGGTGTGGAATGCCTGCTCCCCATGCTTCAGCACACAGGTACAGCCCTGGCTGGGGCTCTCCAGCACAGAGGGATCTCAGGGATACCTTCTAGAGACCACGTGGGTTCTGACATGAGTTGGGGTAGGAAATGGATTGGTTATCCAAAGGAGTAGGGACAGGAGAGCAAGTCAATGCCTCCTGTTGTGTTGTCCTGGGGTGTCTCCTCACCTGGCCTGACACAAGCCAGGACAGCTGTGAGGAATGGAGAATGGAGAAGAAACAGGGTCGATGGACTCCTGACATAACTAGGAAAGCCGTGGCGGCTAAGACGATGGCCAGGCGCCGGGCGGTGGGGGCACATGCCTTTGATCCCAGCACTCGGGAGGCAGAGGCAGCCAGATCTCTGTGAGTTCGAGAGCAGCCTGGTCTACAAGAGCTCGTTCCAGGACAGCCTCCAAAGCTACACAGAGAAACCTTCTGTCTCGAAAAACCAAAAAACCAAAAAACAAAAAACAAGACTATGGCTAGGCATACTGAGCCCTAGGAAGAGGGCAGCGCATCCTACGGCGGCATCAACTTCAGTGCCAGATCCTTGCTTGGGAAGCAGAAGCCATGCAGGACGGATGCCAGGTCTAACCTAGAGCAGAGGGCACACTCCAGGAGTTGGCCGAACTGGCCTGGCCGAGAATAAATAGATAGACCAAGACTACTGGAAGGACTTGAGATGGAATGTGCCCTCCGCGACACAGCTGTCACAGAAAATAGTTACAGGGCAGTGGGTGCCACTGTCCTTGGAGCAAGCCTCTTCTGCAGATCTGCTGTAGTAGGGATTGGTGACAGCATGAATAGTGTGTGCCCAGGAATTTGGATACCTGGCCTGGCTCAACGAGGTTCAGGGCAGCTCCATCGGCCCGCAAGGCTCCGGCGTAGGAACGGACTATCGTCATAGAGTGGATGGGGCCTTGTAGGGTATGAATGCTGGCGGATGAAGCGGAAGAGGCTGGAGCGGCGTGGTTGGACCTGCGCCCGGGCAAGCAGCGCCACCTGCTGGGCAGACACGTGCGCTGCCGCGGAAACCGCAGACTCCGGGTCGCCCTGCAGCTGTCCTAGGTCTGTATAAAGAGGCACTTAGGATGCGTGGGAGAGGAGCCTGGGGACGGTCCTTACCCATTCTGCCCTGTCCACTCCTCTCCAGCACCCTACAGCTCTCCAGTACCCTACCCCATGGCAGATGTAGTCCTCACCCTGGAACAAAGAGTCCAACAGGTCCTGACTGACTCCACTGGGGCGAGCATGGTAGACGAGGAAGCCTGTGTACCAGAGCAAACCAGTGGGGTCTGGCCCAACCCTGAAAGGGGCTGGTCAGCTCTTAGAACCCTAGCCAAGTGGATAAGACCGCCTCACCTATGAGCACAGTGGCTGCCCGGCGCAAGGTGTCCTGGGGGCTCCGCAGGTAGCCCTGGGTCTGACTCAGGAAATGCTTAACATGGCTTGGATATCTCTGAACCTAGGAACACAAATGCTCATGACAGCATGGAATATCAGTGGCAGGCGACATGAACCACGGCTAGGGGCTGGCCTCATGGGGGCATGGTGGTTCTGTTTAGCTGGGGGGGGCTGCTTTGAGGGGGAGTGGCCTACAGAATCCTGGGACAAGTGAGCAGCTGACCGTGCCCTCTCCCTTCACGGCGCTTCCTCTACTCACCAGGCGGTGGCAGACACGGCTTAGAGCCTCGGGGCTGTCATAGTGAGCCACAGTGACCATCTCCTCCAACAGGCCCCATCGAAGGGCCTGGTCACAGCGGGCTAATGTCCACTCTGAGCTCTGGAATGGAGGAAGCAATCAGGGTGAGGGGTCCAGAAGACGGCCAGTGGTGGGAGAAAGGGGATTGCGGCCAGGAAAAGGTTGGCAAAACTGAGGGTGAGGAGGACCTGGGCCTGAAGGTCCTTGGGGTTCTTGTTCCTGGCTGGAAACCTTCAGAGAGGCTGCAAGGCAGGAGTAGGAGTACTGGATGAGAGACGCGGGACGGAACACTGACCTCAGCAGCATCCCGGCTGGAGTCATGTAGGCGCAGCAACAGCGGCACCAGGCTCTGCAGCACCAGTTTCCGCAGGGGTCCCCTGAGCCCCAGCCGGAGCCCGCTCTGACCCCGCCGCACCAGGGTTCCAAGGAGTCCCGCTGCTGAAGCACGGACGGAGTCCCGAGCCTTCGTGTGAAAATACAGTCAGCTCAAGGAAGCGGGAGTGGGAGAGGAGGTCAGTGCAGAGCAAGGAGGGGCAGGTCCTGATCGGGGCCTCAGATTAAGCCCCCATCTGATGGCAGGACCACAGACAACTGGCTGGGCACCCTAGGGAGAGCCTGTGGGTGGGGCTGCGCATCTATGGACAATTCCAAGTGGGACACGGTGGGACCACAGGGCAGGATTTTGCTCACATCGTCCAGCAGCGGTGGGAGGCGTGGTCGCAGCTCAGAGCTCAGGAGTCTCACGGGCGCTCCTGGCTGCAGCAGGAGTCTCCGCAGCGCGCCTAGCGCGGCGCCCACGAGCCGCGCATCGCCCTCGCCCAGCGCCCTTAGGAGCACCGGCAGCAGCGTGTTCACATGCCTTATCTGCAAAGACAGGACTTGTGGCGGGCCCCGTCCAGACTCCACCTAGGACCCACCCGGCCTGACGCTACCCGATTGGCACCTTCCCATGATCCATTGCAAGGTGACCAAGACCAAGTAGGCCTAGCCAGCGCACGGTGGGCTCTGGGTCGCCCTGCCAAGTTCGAAGTCGCTCCAGGATGACTTCCTCCCGTAAGAGCCGTGCCGTGGGCCGGCTCTGCAACAGCTAGGCAAAGGGGCATAGGGTCAGTGCTTCCCTGTGTCTAGCCAGGCAGTCACCCCTCACTTCTCTTCCGGAAAGCAGGCTCACCCCAGTAAAGAAGGCCATAGCTGTGAGGCGCTGCGGGTCACTGGCACTTCGTAGCCGAGGAAGCAGGTCTGCAAAAAGGCCTCGCAGGTGGTGATCGGCGTGCGCCACCATTGCACTAGAAAGGGTGAAAGGGAACTCTTCCTTCGCTTGGCGGGGCTCACCCCCACCACCCCCTCCACGCCACCACCGCACCTGGCCAGCGGGGAGTCTCCTCCTGTTGTGTTGTCCTGGGGAGGTTCCTCACCTGGCCAGCAGCAGGACACCCTCCAGATGCGTGTGGGCTCCTACCAGTCTCCTCCAGCCTCCGGCTTGCTCCATACATGTGACTACCATTCGGCCACCATCTCCCGTGAGCAGGGCCTTCAAGGCCTCCACCGTGCAGCTGGAGGAGGGGACAGCGGAGCAGCTGGGCAGTGAGGGCAAGTCGGGCCTGTCCCACCCATCACCTACCCGAGTGTGCCTTCTCACCTGGCGTGGCTGTGAGGTGGCCCTCGGTGACAAGGCTCCCACACCTTAGGGCTGTCAGGGGAGTGAGCGCCTTGAGCTAGCTCGTGCAGCTGTGTGACCAGTGCTAGCAGCAGGTGAGGGTAGAAGCCTCGAGTGGCTCCCACGCAGCCGGAGACTGCCAGCATCTCCCCAAGGGCACGCGTGGCCTGCAGATCAAAGGAGCCCACCCTCGGAACTCTGTCAGACATGGATGTGCAGAGAGCATCCCATGCAAGTGTGACCCAGGAGCCAATCCGTGGTCCCACCACCACAAGGCTGCTCTTTAGCGGCTTGCGGCTGGGCCACGTCCCCCCCCCCCCCGGTGGCCATTGCTGGAGCCACTTACTGCCAGGGCTCCAGGCTCGGGACCCCCTGCGCCTTTGAGCGTCCACAGCAGCTGCACCAGCACCTGCCCATTTACGCGCTGGTTTCGGCTCAGGCTTCGCCACAGCTCGGCGGCCACCCTGGGGGGAAAGGGCCGTGTTGTGGGGAGCCGCGGGGAACCGTCGGGAAAGACTACCGCTATGACGCCGGGAAAACCTCCAGAAGTCAACTGCCTTTCCACTGGCCCACATCCCAGACTAGTAAATGCAGACTACAACAGAGCCAGCCCCAGAGATTAGCAGTCATCTGGACCACACTGAGTCCTCTTAGGACAGGAACAGGGCGACAGACCTGATGACTACTGCTGCTGCTATTACTACTATTGTTATTGTTGTAGAGAATAAACCAAAGGTAACTTCTGGGGTAAGTGACCCAAAGAGCCAGAGGCTTCCAAGTGCCCAAACCACCCTACTTACTTATCCCACCCACGTCTGTAGGAAGAGGTGTGTGTATATGTGTGCGTGCGTGTGTGTGTGTGTGTGTGTGTGCGTGCGTGTGTGTTAAACTAAACCTGGGTATGGATTGGGGCAGTAGGAAGAGGTGTGTGTGTGTGTGTGTGTGTGTGTGTGTGTGTGTGTGTGTGTGTGTGTGTGTGTGTTAAACTAAACCTGGGTATGGATTGGGGCACAGCAACAGTGGGGAGGAGGGGATTCTGAGTCCCTGCTCCCTTACAGCTCGGTGCATCAGGGGCCGGACTCTATGAGCAAGCATCAAGCCGGAAGGGGGCAAGGAAGGAAGCCGCGTGGGGCCGCGCACATGCGCGGATGAATCGGGTTACCGGTCCGGGGGTAGTGAACTGTGTAGCAGCGCACACACCACATCCTGCGCATGCTCCAGAGCCAGTGCGCTCAGCACCCGTAGAGCTGCCCTTCGGGGTCTCCCCTCTGCCAGGCTAGGCACCTGTGCCAGCAGCCCACGCACCAGACCGTGGACCTGAGTAAACGGGACAGATGAGTCAGGGTGCCTTTAACTCGAAAGGAAACTCTTGGCAGCACGGTACCCACCCCCAACTCAGTAAGAACAGCCTCTGGGGGAGTGTGGTTGAGGGTGTAGTCTCCTCCCACTCAGAAGGGAAGCTTTCAGGATTTTCCGGGTGGGGTGGGAATGCTCACCTGATCCTCCAGTCGTTGTCCCTGGGCTTCCAGGGCTGAGGACAGAGTGAGCGCTGTTGCCTGGGTCCCGGCGTAGCCAGCCTCCTCCAGACAGGCAGCTGTATACAACGCAAGGTCGGCAAGGGCCCCTTCCTCCCAGGGATACAGGGAGGCCTAGAGAAAGGAGAGGGGGACATGCAGTTTGTGAAGTCCCCAAGCCTGTCAGCTGTCTTCCTCAGTCTCCCGGCCTCACCCTCCCTCAAATGGCCACACACCCTCTTCCCCCTCAACGCTCTCCCCAGCTCCAGAACTTCTTGTCTTTCTGGTGCCAAGTGAACAAGAGCCAAACCTTGCATCATCCATCCCGAGCTCACCTGGAAGGGTCTCTCAGGTGCTGGCTCCTGGGCATCCTGTGGGGAACAGTTCTCACTGCCAACTGTGGGGGCGACCCCTTCGTTCCCAGGCTGCGCCTCGAAGGCCGGGGTCAGTGTTTGAGTGTAGATCTCAGCCCCTGGTCCACGCTCCAGGGGCTCAGCCTGAGGGCCTGGGGAAGAGGGTCCCACAGGCTGTCCCTGGTTAGCCCGGATTCCTTCAGCTAGAGCTGTCAGAGTTAGGGACCCCACGGGGCCACCCCTGCCCCGGCCCCACACACCCCCAGCCATGGTCTTCCTACCAGCGGCACCCGCCACCACACTTCCAGGGAAGTTGTGCCCAGACCTGACCTACAATCGGGCCCCGGGCGGGCCCACAGGCGGGCCTACAGACAGGCGTGGTGGCGTGGGCATATACGTGCATACGTGCCTGAGCGTGTGCCGGTGGTTGACCGGGGAATCACAGAGGTATTCTAGTTTGGGCTTGTGAAGGGTTTCTACCCAGGCTGCTGGAGTCAAGTGGACTGTCCAGATTGGCCCTGGTCACCAGTGCCCATGGAGAGAGTGGACTCCAGAGAGGTCTCTAACCCAGCTGCCCGTCCCTTTCATCTGGGGGAGGGGTCCAGGGCGGTTTTAGATCGTCTCATCGTGAGGAGGATCTAGCAGGGTCAGGGGCTGGTCACACAGCCAGACATCCTGGGAATGGGTGTGGTCAGATGCTGTCATCATCTCTGAATTTGAGATCCTCAGGGTGTGGAGCAGATGAGGTGAGGGCAGGTGAAACCTCCTAAGTACATCTGCGAGTGCCCACTGTTGTTGATGTGGGCCACTCTGTATCCTTGCCAGTTCTGAGTGGTATGCCTCATGCCCTGTGTCCTCCACCCTTGGCTGCCTAGGCAGTGTGCATGTATACCACCCTTGGCCGCCTAGTGTATACCGCGTGCCCAGTTGCATCCCTTTCCAAGTCCCTGCTCAGAGCCGACCCAGCCTCTGCCCTAAATCCCCACTCTCCACCCCGCCCCACTAAAGGCACTCCCCAGAGCTAGGCCAGGGGAGCTGGATGGACAGGTCTGACAGTCGCTAGGCCAATGGCAGAAGGAAGCACGTGTGGGAGTGTCCCAAGTAGTGGGCACTCACCCTCTTCAGCCCATGCACCTCAGGCTGCCCAAGCCCCAACTCTGCCTCCCACCAAGCCACGACGAACCTCTTGTGGTGGCCTGAGTAAGAATGGTCCCATAGGCCGGGCGTTGGTGGCGCACGCCTTTAATCCCAGCACTCGGGAGGCAGAGGCAGGCGGATCACTGTGAGTTCGAGGCCAGCCTGGTCTACAAGAGCTAGTTCCAGGACAGCCTCCAAAGCCACAGAGAAACCCTGTCTGGAAAAAACAAAAAAAACAAACAAACAAACAAAAAAGAATGGTCCCATAGGCTCACACATTTGAATGCTTGGTCACCAGGGAGTGTCAGTATTTGACAGGATTAGGCTTAGGAGGTGTGGCCTTGTTGAAGCAAGTGTGTCTCTTCGGGGGGGGGTTGGCTCTGAGGTTTCAAAAACCCGTGCCAAACGCAGTGTCTCCTTCTGTATAGAGAATTCTCAGCTACTCCTCCAGCACCGTGTTTGCTGTATGTCACCTGTACGTCCTTACCATGAGAACTGATTAACCTCTGCAACTGTACGCAAGCCCCCAGTTAAACACTTGCTTTCCTTTGTAAGAGTTGCTGTGGTCATGGCTTTCACACAGCAACAGAGCAGTGGCCTGCACACTCCCCCTCAGCAGAGCAGTGGCCTGCACACTCCCCCCTGGGCAGCTCCTCTGAGCCTTGCCTGGCTTGCTGTGCCCAGGCACTTCCAGCCCTCACAGGGCCAGCTCCTTGGCCCCTCAGCCTTCCCAGTCTTCTCCTCCTTCCTTGGTTATTGGTCGGAAACCGAGACCCCTGATTGGCCTATAGCAGATCACACAGGGCTGGCGTGGGGAGCTTGAGATGTCTCAGCTGATGGGGACATTGCCCTTAGTAGCTATGGGAGCCTGAGGCTGTTAGACTCTTGACACCTCAGCTCAACCTTAGGAACCCCCTCTCTGCCTCTAGCAGGTGAACGCCTTCACAATAACATCCTCAGAACAGAGGTGAACATAAGTCCTCCGTGACTTGTGGCCATGATGTTCCACCCAGACCTGATCCCCACAGTCCAGCCCCACGCTGCCTTCCCACACGCTGGGCCTGTGCCGACTCATATGGCCGACTCCCCGCCCAGCTGAGCTCTGATCCCCAGCCGTGGGGCATCTCCTTCTCTCCTTCCCCCTCCCCTGCAGCTGTGTGAGCCACGCCCATCCCTGGAGGACTCCAGAGCCTTTGCCCAGCAGCCCCTGAGCCACCCCAACTCAATTCCAGCCCAGCTCTGGAAGTCTCCTAGAAGTCCAGTGAACTAATGACACAGGATACGTCGTGGGGACAGTGAGTCATTTTATTGCTGGCAGTTCACCACCCCCACAGCTTAGTTTTACAAGGGACCCCCAGCACTCAGACTGACAACCAGTGCCCGAAGCTTCTCTGATAGTGCAACCTGTAGAGAGAGAAGAAGAGGGTTTGGGCAGCTGGGGCCGGAGAGTGGGGCAGGGGGCACACAGGGCACACAGGGCAGACCACCCACAGGCCTACCGGATACGCTGTAGGGTTCTGCAGCTGCTTATGAGCGGGGTTGAGGCGGCTCAGGGACTGCTGGGCAAAGGCTCTGGACTCCTCCAGGGATGGAAGTGGCTCGCACAGCTGCAGGGGAGAGGGAAGGAGAGCTGGAGATGCCGGCTGGGGATCGGAGCTCAGCTGGAGGGAAGGTGCAGATGAGGGGAAGTCACCTGGCCCTGTTGCAGGCAGAGTCGCAGCAAGGGCTCCACCTGGGCTGGCTTCACAGTGCGGGGCTCCTGGGCTCCCTGGGGCCAAACCCTGAGTTCCTGCCCAGCCTTGGGTGGGGGCTCTTCTGCCAACTGCAGTAAGTCCAGTTGGAAGGACCCTGAGCAAAGGCAAGAATAATGTCAATTAAGGGCTGGAGACTTGAGAAAGGCCAAGGGAAAAGCAGAGGGAAGTCACCATCAGAGCCTAGAAACCGGAAGGCAGCCTTGCTCCCAGGCAGGGTTTGCTTCTCAGGGTCCTCTGTCAGTTTCATTCGAGGTTGGCCTCCCACAGACACCAGCTGCAAGGACAGGTTGTTCAGATAGCAGGGCCCCTGTCGCCCGCCACCCACGTTCTTCCAGACTTGCCCCACCCGGAGCCAAACACTCCCTTTACCTTGTAGACACAGCCCATAGAAGGCTGTTTGGGACAGGTGACCACACTGGTGCCAATGCCAATGATGTTCACCTCACTGCCCTGTGTGGAGAGGAGGTGACACTGAGCCAGGCTGCCACCCGCAGGGAGCCAGGGCCCCGGGACTACTGCCCGCCCATCCCTCTGCACTCCACCTCCTGGGCCAGTCTTCCTAGCTGCTTCTCATCAATGTTGTTGCTGACCGCAATGGGAACAGATTCCAGCCAGGGCACCTGAAACCTGCGTGTATGCAATGGGTTCAGAGGCAGCATCCCCGCAGATGCTCCTGGCTCACCCTGGCCTCTTTCCTAGTTCCCTCCCTCCCCAGCAGCCGTGCCTATACCCACTCTTTTCTTAGGACCCCCTTCCAGGCCTTTTTCCTGAGATAGGCCCATGGTCTCCCTATAAGAAAGGCAAAAGCCGGGCGTTGGTGGCGCACTCCTTTAATCCCAGCACTCGGGAGGCAGAGGCAGGCAGATCTCTGTGAGTTCGAGGCCAGCCTGGTCTACAGAGCGAGTTCCAGGACAGCCTCCAAAGCCACAGAGAAACCCTGTCTCGAAAAACCAAAAAAAAAAAAAAAAAAAAAAAAAAAAAGGCAAAAATCCCTCCTTGTCCCATCTCCCTAGGACTTCCGCAAGGAGTTTCTAGCGGGCATACCACACCCCTCATGGGTAACTCACTGGGCACCAACAGTTCGAAAGATCCCACGGATCTCCTGAGCCTGCTGAAGCAGATCACCGCTGTCCAGCCTCACGCCCACTGCCCTGTAGCCCAGTTCCCCCAATGCCAGGGCTACTGCCAGAAAGTTGGGAAGACCACTCCTGCATATAAATATATATAAAAGAAAGTTGGGAAGACCACTCCTGCATATAAATATATATAAAAGAAAGGGATCAGGAGCTCAGTTGCTCTTCTGAGGCTGCCTTGACGCAATGCTCACAGCTCACCTGCGGACACTGTAGGAATCCAGCAGGCCCTGGAAGGCCCTGGGAAAGGCCAGCGCATAGGCTACAAACGCCGCCCGCTCCCCTGGGTGTGGTTCCTGCACCCCCAGCCCCAGGTGGGTGCACACACGCTTCAGCCACAAATCTACACTGGCCGTCAGGTCCACCGTGGGGCCCTCACTAGAAGCTGGGGCCAACATCTGTAGAGAGAGATTAGTTAAAAGATGGTTCTAGAGTATTAAACCTGGGAGTGGCCAGTAGACCATGACCTGAGGGCAAAGGTGATGCCATGTAATGCTGCCAGCTTCCTAGTGCAGCCTTGGGCCAGGTGTGCAGGGCTAAGAATGGGTTTCCAGATCTTGTCCTCTAGAGTAAAGCTGAGAGGGAAACTGACTTGAAGGCCCAGCAGGAAGTACACAAAGATCAGGGTTCTAGGACCAGTCTGGGCAACATGGAACCGACACCAAATAAAACAGTACTGACCGGGTCGGGCGGCACCTCACTGCCCGAAAAAGAAGTGACAAAGGAGTGTGCCAGGGTCCCTGCCACCGGCACGCCCCTCAGCTGTCCAGCAAGTGTGTTGCTGCTGCTGTTGAACCCTGGGTGGAAAGGCGGGCAGGCTTAGGAGACCCGGGTAAAAACGGAACCTTCCCTTCCGCACCCTAGGCCTTTCCCGGGCCTCACCGCCTAGGTAGCTGTAAATGGAGGCCGTGAAGCCCCCATCTGGACCCTGAGCTCTCCGCAAGCCCATCTCTAGTAGTTTCTTATCCGGCCCTGCAATCAGGCGGAGCCGAGCAGCATTGGTGGCCACCAGGCTGTGGAGAGTGACAGACCAGGAGAACCCAGGTGAGGACTGCAGTTACCTCAGTGGGACGACTTAGCCCCAGAGCTCAGGAACTCTGCTCACCTAGCATAACTGACCAGACAGAGCAGAGGCGTCTCCAGGAGCTGTACCAGAAGGAGGGGCCCGGACACCCGCAGCAATGGCACCTGCAGGGCGAGTGATTAGCTGCGCAGCCAGACCTCCAGGGCCACCCACCTTCTCTACCCACTCAGCCTGCAGGACACTCACACCAGGGAAGGCGAGGGAGCCCTCTGGCAGGGCCTGCACCGTCACCCCAGAGCAGTCAAGGGCCCGAAGGTGCTTGA